TGAGGTAAAAGAAGAAGAGATTGGATTTATATCCCACCCTTCACAACCCAAAGGAGTCTCAGAGCGGCTTACAATCTCCTTTCCCTTCCCCTCCCCACAACAGGCACCCTGTGAGGTAGGTGGGGCTGAGAGAGCCCTTTCCAGAACTGTCCTTGAGAGAACAGCTCTGAGACAACTTGTGACTGACCCAAGGTCACACCATCAACTGCCTGTGGAGGAGGGGAGGAATCAAACCCGGTTCTTCCAGATTAGAGTCCGTGCTCCTAACCACTATGCCAAACTGGCTAGTTAGGTGTTTTTTGTTTGTTTTGTAAAGATAGCTTTTATTTCTCGAATTATTCCTCAGGTGTTGCCTTCGAAATCCCCTCTTCCCCATAGTAGCATCCAGTCTACTAGAGGGAGGACTGATCTTATGACAGCTGTTAGCCATGATGAGAACAAAATGGAGCCTCCATGTTCAGAGGTAGTATCTCCTCAAATGGTAGATCTAGGGCTCTCAGCCCCCTAGAAGGGGCCTGGAGAGCTCCCACTATTAAGGTTGAGCTCCAGAGGACACCGTTCAGTTCCCTTGGAGAAAATGACTGCTTGGGAGAGCGGACTCAATGGGATTTTACCCTGCAGGGGTCCCTCCCTTTCGCAAACCATGCCACCCCCAGTCTCCGCCTCCAAATTTCCAGGTATTTGCCCACCCAAAGCTAGCAACAGAAGGAGGAGGAGGAGGCAGCTCTCAGAGCAGCTTACAAACTCCGTTCCCTTCCCCTCCCCACAACAGACACCCTGTGAGCAGTGCTCCCTCTAAGATGAGTTAGTGATGGCTCCAAAGCAAACTAATTCATGCGGCCGCCAAATCGCTCACTCACAACTGTAATCCCAGTCGCTCACAACATAGAATTTTTGCTCGCAAGACTTCACAGTTTAGAGGGAGCATTGCCTGCAAGCAACCCTCCTTTTAAGCTGTGGAGTCTTGGCTCCAATGAGTTCCTCACAAAGGCCTGCAAAGGGTTTCCTTTGTCTGAACCAAGTTTGGTTGCCTACTATGGTGAAACGGGCTCCAGTTTACAATTCAGCTGTTTGCCTCCCACCCTTGTCCCGTGGGCATATCTCACTCCTTAAATTCGCTGCCTTTTTAGAAGGACAGTGACACCCCTCTGGCTGAATCTCCCTATTTGGAGATGGAATCCCCAATCTTTGGGGGACTATGTGGTCAAAGCACAACACAGATTATTAGCCCAAATTAAAGACTTTATTAAATATTAACATGGAGGGGGAGGGGGGAAGGAAGGAAGGAAGGATGGAAGGAAGGAAGGAAGGAAGGAAGGAAGGAAGGAAGGAAGGACCCCACCCAGAAGTGATATTGGCACATCGGAGACGTCATGGGAAAAACACTCTGGTTTTGAGGCAAAACTCTATGGTTCAAGGTTGATTGTACCATAGAGTTTTGCCCAAAAAACAGAGTGTCACCCCCAACGTTACCAATGTGCCTGCATTACGTCTGGGTTACATAGACATGCCATGCAAAATCACTTCCTGCTCCTGGAACATTCCCCCCATCCCCCCCGCCAGCATTTCCAACAGTCCTGGCAACCCTACACCACAGTGTTTATTTTATTCTTTCTCACTCTTCTTTCCCAGTGTAGCTCTAGGAATCGCTGGAAACTCTAGCTCTAGGAAGAGCCAGAAACTCTATGGCTTTACCACAGAGCTTCCAGTGACTCCTAGAGCTACGCTACAACATTGCCAGTTTTTAACAGAAGTGATGCGACACGACAGCTGAGAGGGAGGAGTGAAAAACATAAGGTTTTGGTAAATCCTAGAGAACATCTAAAGATGCAGGTGCGCTAGGCCCTATTCCCCAGTTCCTCCAATGGGCAAACCCTGTTCCCAAAACAGCAGGCAGCCCCTGGGTTTTTCCAAGACTGAAAACCGCAGCTGTAACGCTTTGCAGGCTGGTTGCAACTCAAGCCCGTTGGCATGATTGAAAAGGCAATGGAATCCACACGTTTCATATTCCAGTAGGATTATTTTTATCCAAGCAATCACAGTGGTTAGCAAGCGCTCCCATCGATCCATTGTTGAGCTGATTCTTCTTCTTCTTCTTTCCATAGCAAA